ACAGAACAAACTTCAGTATTTTCCAGGGGGATATGTAAAAATGGTTCTACTGCTATCTTCCGTTTACTTAGCTCTCTCTTGCCCTGCTGCTACTGCTTTCCCTCCTAGCTGGTGCTCTCTGAATGTATTTCAGGTCCAGTTGTGAGGAACTTCCAGCTTTGTGGTTAATTCACGTAGTCCATACTCTATCCTTGATAAAATGTTATTCAGAGCAGACCGATTACTTATAAAGTTAGATAACAATATTTAATTCATCCTACTTTTGTAATTTTTTAATAAGTGAAATCCTGTTTTAATAGATACAATAATTTTTTTTTTTTATAACAGGAAAAATACTAAGCTGCAGGCAATTTCTCACTAATTCAGTACATGCTTTAAGCAATATTAATTAAACTGTGCAAGTTAGTCAATACAACATCCCCATTTACACGCATGTGTGATTGTATGGTTATGTGTGTATGTGTGTTTATAAAATATATTTTCCTTTTTTCAGAGTTTGGAGAAGCAGGAGGATTATTCTCACACCACTGCTTTTCCACATTTGTTCTAAAATTTATATTGCACTTGATTTGTGTTTCTTTAGAGAAATCTTTCTTCGAAAGATTTATTAAGTAAAATAAATTATTTTAGGCCATTTTCCTAGGTTGAATTTTGAGGAATTCATTCTGTATTAAAAGCTAGGATTGTTTTGTTTTTGCTCTAATCTTAAAAACATTTTTTTCCTAATACTCTTACATATTTTTAAATAGGGAGGTAACTTTTCAATTATAACAGGAAAATATATTGAACACCACATAGTAGTTCATGTTACTAAGATAGCATAGATTCAGTAAAAAGCTTAAACCCTTCAAAAGTCATCAGTCCATGTAAGATTTCTTTTCAAATAGAATTTTATTGGCTTAAAAGAGGACTTCAAAATTGCTGTTTTAAGGCAGGTCATTCTTATAAATTCTCAGGGTAATTGTATTGGCCATAACTTGTTTGGTAATGTTAAATATAGCATTGATTAATAGCTCTCAGAAGTTTTACCTGAAAGAACAAGAACCCCTTTTATCATTTTCCCTGTGTATCTTATTTACAAAAGATTTTAATTACCAAATTGAGTATATTAAGTAACAGTTTTTCTATTTTAATCCATTAAAAGATACTATAACTGTGAGAGCTTCTAATCAGCAGGAAATCCCAAATAAAGAAACTTGGTGTTTTAGTTATTGGTTTAATATTCATTCTACAAACATTTATTGAGTACCCAGTATAGTCTCAGCACGGTGGTAGGTATGAAGGTTTTAAGTCTGAGTAAGACATGATTTCTGCTCTCAGGGAGCTCTCAGGCTAGTGATAAAGAAATAAGTAATTACAATACATAGCAGAATGGTAAAGGTTTGTGAGCATAGAAGAGGACACTGAACCCCTCTTGGCTGGGGAGGGATATAGACAGAAGGGAGCCTAGAGGAAGACTTCTGGAGCTGGTTGACTCTAAGCTAAATCTTAAAGACAGGGTGAGAGGAAGCCAGGGTGGCAGAGGAGGTGGTAACCAGCCTCCCAACCTGAGCAAAAGCGTGATACTAAGGAAACGGGTTTCTGTGTGCAGAACAAGTGGTTCTGTGTTGTTAGAATGTAAATCATGAGGTAAATAGTAAATGAAAACTGGTTAAGTAGACAGGGACCTTTATCATAATGACCTTTATAACCTTATGGAACATGTAGCCTGCCACATTTTGGACATTTTAAGTTTAGATGTCTGTAAAATATCCAGTCTGGAGATATCTAGCGCAGAGCATCCCAAACTTTAATGTGCATGTGAGTCACTTGGGGAAGCTTGTTGAGATGCAGCTTCTGAGTCAGTCAGTCTAGGGTCGGCCCGAGCTGCCACATTCCTGCCAAGCCTCCAAGCGATGCCAGTGCTGCTGGTCTGCAAACCACATTTGTGTAGCAGGAGTTTAGCAGAAAGTCGGAAGATCAGGAGAGGGGTTTAAGCTCAAGATAACGTTTTGGAAGTTATCAGCACATAACTGGGAGTTAAAATCCAAAGAGTTGATTGTAAAAATCATCCAGGGAGAACAAGCGAAGTAAGGAAAAAAAGCTAGCCTTTGGTGAACTAAACCACTATTTAAAAATGTAAATACTTTATTAAGGTTAGTAATATCTGCTTGCTTTTAGATATTTTTAAAAACTTCTTTAAGACTAGTAGAGCTTCAAGGATATATATGTTTTATTTCTTTTAGGTTTTTTGAAATATTGAAAATTTATTATGGATCCCAGTTTCTACCTTCAAAAGTGAATTTTGACTTCCAAGTCTTGGACCCTAGCCAAAAATTATGTTCTGATTTTAACAGAAGAGGCCGTATCATGTTTAAATCATTCAAAAAGATAAAATCATTTCATTATATATTTGTTTTTACTCTTAACCATTCCAAGTACTTAATTTGCTGGCTACACAAAGATAATACAGAAAAATTACTTAGTACAGTGGTTGACTGAATCATTTTTATACATTTACCATGTTTTGTGATAGAAATAGGAATTTTTTCCTAGAAAAAACATTTTTTTCTTGATTCAATCAGTGTGATAAAGCATTACAGATTCCAGATTTCTCATAGGGATTCTAAGAATAGCTTTTCAAGTCTTACGAAGAAAATAAATGTTTGAAATGTTCTACAGGGGTAGTAGTCTACAGCTTGGTAACAGGTTAACTAGCTTTTTTTGTTATTCATTTTTTAAGTTAGAAAGGTATTCCATTAATATAACATAGTTTTTTCCCCCCCTGTATCATGTGTCTACCTCTTAGGGGCAGAAGAGTACAGATAAAATACAAAATGCTATTGCCTTTGAGTCAAGAGTTTTAGATATTTGTTAGGATAAAATTAAAATTTGAGTTTTAGTGTTGTTGATCTAAGTACAAGTTTTAACTTCTTAAAATAAATTTAGAAAAAAAGTTATGGGTTGAGGGACTTTTGTACCTTTCTTTTTGTGGACAAATATTTTAAAAAACAGGACTTGATTAACCCATAATTTTAAAATCAGTAGATGCAGATTTTTCCTAGGATAAATTCTATTTTATTTGGTTAGTTACTTACTTTTTATAATTTGTTTAAAGATGTCCAAAAGTCATGTGACAACTTGAAAATGTATATGAGCAGGACAAAAAAATAACACCAAAGTAAAAAGAGCCATCTGTGTAATAGTCAACTCCAGAATCAACACTTACCAAATAAAAACCCCTGGTTGTACAGTACAACAAATGATCTCTTCTAGGGAGGGACTGTCTTACAGAGCATAGCTATCACTCACTGTTCTTCGTCTAGTTTTGCTTTGCAGCCTACAAAGCTCTAGTTTTCATAGCAGCCTCAGTGATTGCTACTACTTTTTTTTTGCCTGTTTCTGTCAGTTACTATATGATGGACTGAATTAAACAAAGTATAACCTATTTTATAAATATTAAGAGATAATGAATTGAAAAAGCAGTTTTTTAAGTGTTTTTCTTTACCTGAATCAAGTACTAAAATACAAGAAGAAAACAAAATTGGCTATGGGATTAAGCTAGGGATAAGCCTGAAATTTCTTTTCAGAGAACTGAGAGTCACTTAAAAGCTTCAGGTCAATTTATTTATTATTTAGAAGTTTTCCACATCATCTTAAACTAATTCACCTTGTACTTCTTTCTTACTGACAATGCTATTAGTAACTTATAGTCAGTTTACTTATTTCTTAAGTAGATATTTCTTTTCGTATTAATGAAGCAAATAAAGAAAAAAAATAGATGTTAAGTGCATAGCATAGTACCTGTTGAGTGCCACAGTCTCATTAGTACATTGTTTACTTCATATATAGTATACCTTTTTGTTTTAACTTTTATTGAAGTATTATATACATACACAAAAGGGCACATATCTTAAAGTATAAAGCTCAATGAATTTTCCCAAACTGAACCCTGTGATGTGTAACTCAACAAATGCTAGTCTCTTATGTGTAATAAAGAAGTTAGGTAAGAATTTTAAGGAGATATATCCAAAGTTGGGTAGCCTGGGCACTTCATCTTTCCTGCCATTTTCAAGCAGCCCAATTAGGCAGCTACTTAAGGAAAGGTAAAAACTTGTGAGGAAAGAATACTTTATAGGATTTGCATGAAACCACAAAATAAATATGATAAAGTACTACTAGTCTACCAGTTTTTCAGATAATTTAATTGCCCTTGGTTTTTAAGCCTCTCAAGACTTTGTCTAGTTTAGAATTGTAGTTTTTATTATGCCATAAAATTGCTTTATTAAGAAAATATTGTTCCTTGCACAAAAGGAGCTGATTTT